GTTCTCCACCACCCACCCCGCCTTGCTGCTAACTCTCTGCTCGGACCAGCACTGTCTATGAATTCAAACTCTGACCCTTTCTAGAACTTTGGGCAAAGCCAGGAAATTCCATGAAACCCCTTCAAGGCCTGGGTTCCAGTTCCCCCAACTGCAAACCAAAAGAGAGCAAAACTAGCCCTCCTTGCAAGGTGGCTGTGAGAAAACAGTGATAAAAATTAATTATAGGACTTGTATGTAATAAAAATAATTGCAGGGCTGCTGGTAAACAGCCCGGCTCTAGAGATACAGACTGATGATAACAGGCATTTATGGCCCCGCGGCCCAGCCTTTCTGAGGCTGGAGTGATAGGAGCCGGGTCACGAGGTGGGGGTGGTCACAGGCAGGAAACTCCCAGCAGCCCTTGCCGCAGGGAGGCCTGGGCCTGTCTCCGAAGTGGCCTGCACAGTGATTTCAGGGACATTTGGAAGGACACTCCCCTAGCTTGACGGGCTACCATTCATTATCCATCTGGTTGGGTCGGATGTCACTTGCTGTTTGCCTTTCTAAAAACCTGCAAACAAGGCTGGGTGTGGTGGCTCACACCTGTAATCCCAGCACTTTGGGAGGCCAAGGTGAGCAGATCGCTTGAGGTCAAGGGTTCGAGACCAGCCTGGCCGACATGGTGAAACCCTGTCTCTACTAAAAATACAAAAATTAGCTGGGCATGGTGGTGGGCGCCTGTAATCCCAGCTACTCAGGAGGCTGAGGCAGGAGAATTGCTTGAACTTGGGAGGCGGAGATTGAAGTGAACAAAGATCGTGCCATTGCACTCCAGCCTGGGCCACAGAGTGAGACTCTGTCTCAAAATAAATAAATAAATAAATAAATGTAAAAACTTGTAAATAATGGGCACTTTACAGTGACTTTATTCATTTGTTAATTCTCAAGGCCCCAAGGATAGGCAGGGAGCAGATTTTGGTGGTGGAGGAGGTGGAGCAAGGCCCAGAGGAGACAGCAGTTCATTCTTCCTCTATCCAACAGGTATTTATTAAGGGCTACTCCATGCCAGGTGCCTCGCTGGTGGAAGGTAGTGACAGGGACACCAGGGACTTGCCCAGGATCACAGGGGGTCCTAGGGTGGGAGGAAGTCAGGGCTGGTCCCTGGGTCCTCAACACCAAGGACAGTAGTCTCACTGCCACAAAAAAAGACCGGAGTGGCTTGTCCCTTTGGCAAAATGACTCCCTCTTAGGATTCTAGCCTTCCCTGCAGGCGTTCACAGTTAATTCTTAAAGACATAAAAAATCCATATTAGAACTCTAGTAATTTTTTTTTTAATGAAAACGGAACCTACTTATCACAAAAGCTCAACCAATAAAGAGAAGTACAAATAACTAAGTTCAAAACGTGGAAATTTTACTACCCAGAGAAAAACACTCTTAGCAGAGGTAGCAGAGCTAAGCAGTCAAGAGCACAGACTCAGACCAAAGTGCCCGGGACCATGTGCTGGCTTGTAACCTAACCATGCTAGAGTGTAGCCTCTCCTCTGCCTGTTTCTTTACTTGCAAAACTGTATAATGGCAGCACCTGTCAGACATAGTGTATTAAATGTTAGGAGCATGGACAAGCTAACCATTTGTGGAGTGCTTAGCACAGCACCCAGCACAGAATAAGTGCTACTTAAAGGGTTGTTCAGTGTATCCCCAGACGGTGCTACATGCAGACATACCACACCTGCTTATGGTCTTAGGACCTGATTTATATCACACACACACACACACACATACACACACATATATATACATATATATACACACATAAACATATACACACTAAACAAGATATTCCAGGCACCTTGCCATGTCTATAAGCTTCTTTCTATAAGTAAGAATTTGATTTAGGCTGGAGACAGTGGCTCACACCTGTAATCCCAGCACTTCGGGAGGCCGAGGCAGAAGGATCATGTGAGCACAGGCATTTGAGACCAGCCTGGGCAACTTAGTGAGACCTCGCTAAGGTGTTGCAACATGTAGCTGTAGTCCCAACTGCTTGGGAGGCTGAGTTGGGAGGATCGCTTGAGCCCGGGAAGTAGAGGTTGCAGTGAGCCAAGATTACGCCACTGCACTGCAGCCTGGGCAACAGAGTGAGACTCTATCTCAAAAAAATAAAAAGAATGTACATTTCATATTGGTAGAAACTTTCTGGCTGTTTTCGGTCCTAAAAGAGTGCTTGGCACATAATAAATGCGCAAAAAAGTGTTGAATGAATGACTCTAATTTAGTCAATATCCATGACAGAGGAATCTGTTACATACTGGGTGTGTGACTTTGAGCAAGGCTTGTCAAGCCTCTGAACTTCAGTCTTCTAGGTTTAACGGGTATGACATAGATAACATGTACTGAGTTAACTCTGTGCTGGGACCAATTTGAAGTAGTTTATATGGAATATCTCCTTTAAACCATACAACAGCATTTGAGGTACTATTCTTAGTCCATATTAATGTTGAATTAGCTGAGGCACAAGGAGATTAAGTAACTTGGCTAAGGTCACAAGTAAAAGGTGGAGCTAAGAGACAAATTCCCCAGGCCTCTGATACCACAGTGTACCCACTTACCACCACTCTACACTGCTTTTCTAAGATAACCCACCCTTGGCCACCGACAGTAGAAGGAATAAATACATGGTGGTACATTTGTACAATAGAACATTATACAGCAATTGAGTGGCTCATGGGCTGGGAACTACGGCTCATATCTGTAATTCCAACACTTTGGAAGGTTGAGGCAGGTGGATTAGTTGAGCTCAAGAGTTTGAGACTAGCTTGGGCAATATAGCAAGACCCTATCTCGAAGAAGAAGAAGAAGAAGAAGAAGGAAGAAGAAGAAGAAGAAGGAGGAGGAGGAGGAGGAGGAGGAGGAGGAGGAGGAGGAGACGACAACTATACAGTGATTAAGAAGAGCACATTGAGGCCAGGTGTGGTGGCTCATGCCTGTAATCCCAGCACTTTGGGAGGCCAAGGTGGGCGGATCATGAGGTCAGGAGTTTGAGACCAGCCTGGCCAACATGGTGAAACCTTGTCTCTACTAAACATACAAAAAAAAAAAAATTAGCCAGGCGTGGTGGCATGCACCTCTAATCCCAGCAACTCAGGAGGCTGAGACAGGAGAATTGCTTGAACCCGGGAGATGGAGATTGCAGTGAGCTGAGATCGTGTCACTGCACTCCAGCCTGGGTGACAGGGCAAGACTCCATCTCAAAAAAAAGAAAAATGACATCCTGGATTTTTATGGCAACCCTAAAGTTTGCATATGTATGATTCCATTTACGTGAAGTTCAGAAATAAGCAAAACGAATAAATGGTAATAGAATTAGGAGCATGGTTGCCTTGGGTGGGAGTAGGAGTGAGTAGAAAGGATATTAGAAAAGCTTCACATCTTGATCCGGATGGAGGTTACCTGTGTGTATACACATGTAACAATTCACCAAGCTGTACACTTAATGTTTTTACCTTTTACAACACTTGTGAATTACAACTCCATTAAAAAAATATATTTTTAGGCCAGTTGCAGTGGCTCACGTCTATAATCCTAGTACTTCAGGAGGTCAAAGACCAGCTTGGGCAACATGGCAAGACCCTGTCTCTACAGAAAAATTAAAAAATTAGCCAGGTATAGTTGTGCACACCTGTAATCCCAGCTTCTTGGAAGGCTGAGGCAGGAGGATCGCTTGAGCCCAGGAGATCTAGGCTACTGTGAGCTGCGATTGTGCCACTACACTCCAGCCTGGGCGACAGAGTGAGACCCTGTCTCAAAAAAAATTATGTGTATATGTATACGTGTATATATATGTATATATGTGTGTATATATGTATATATGTATATATGTAATACACAAATTTTTTAAATCCCACAGAGTGATACGCCCTATTAGAAAATCTTTGATAATATTCTCTAATGGGATGTTTGCAAGGTTAAAAGGTGATAAAGTTTGTGACTCTCTTGCTCTATTTTAGGCTCTCATAGTAAGAGCTCAGTGTTCAATGTAAACGGCATTGTTAAATGTAACAGCAGTATTCATATAGCATCGTTATTATCACGGCTTTTTGTATTTATCTCTATTGCCAACAGATTGGAGCGCCCCCGAGTGTTTAATGTGTTATAGTACCTCAGTTATTACAAAGAGCACCCTAAACCCAAGTTTGTAGTCTCAACGCCAAAGGGCAATGCTTTTCTTTTCTTTCACTCCAGTGCCACACAAAAAAGGACCAAAACATGACCTCCTGGGAGCAAAGAAACACCAGGTTGCCTAAGGAGAGGTGAACTGGCCCAGGCTGGAAACAGAACAGGTCAAATCTCCCGCGCTGATCAGTGCTGGGATCGTGCCTGTGAACAGCCACTGCACTCTCCGGTCTCTCAAAAAAAAAAAAAAAAAGTAGCAAAATTCACATCAGATCAATGGGTCCCAAGGTCAACTCAAGCCCTGCCCATGATCACTCTCTGAAACGTGTCAGAAAGAAGGCAGAAGGGAATACGCAGCTCTACCTCCCTTTGATGCAAGCACATTGCAAATATCATCTCGTTTCACAGGAGCTCACATAATATTTGAAGGTGGCATCATACGGACTACAAAAATGCTTTTGTATTACTATGGTATTATATTCTATAGTCACAGCTAGCTTTCAGTGACGGCTTCCTGTGTCCCAGGTACCCTACTAGGTGCTAGATGTCCATGGTTAGCTTTGATCTTTAAAATGACCTGGGAGGAATATATTCTTTTGTAGCCTGCTTTTTTCCCTTCAGCAGTACACTTTGGGCATCTTTCCATGTCAATAAATAGAGCTGGGTCGGAAGTACCTGATTCAAAGGCTGAGAAACTTAAACAGTCAGCAGCCACTGCCCAGGTGAAGATCAATAATAGTTAACATTTATTGAGTGCTTTATTACACACCAGGCCCTCCACTCATTGTTTAAGGTGAACTCTCTAGCATTTGATCCTTGAGGCAATCCCAAGGTAGCTTCTATTATTATTCAGATGGAGAATCTGAAGCCCAGAGAAGCAAAGGAACACAGTTGAGGTCAGACAGCTGGTGTTTAATGGCAGAGGTGGGATTCAAACCCAGGTCCCTCTGATTCAGGCGCTGGGCTCTCGGCCAGCACATTTGGAGGACAACATGGAGGAGGATGCAAGGGGAGTCTTCCAAGTGGGGAAAGGATCCACTGACAAAGGCTGAAGACAGGCAGGAGGGTGGTGTGGGCCCAGGCCATTGTCCTCTATGGAAATGACAGTAAGGCTTCCTGGAGGTGACACCATTTGGACTAATTCTATGTCTCCAGCCGATAAAGGAGGTCTTTTTATAACTTACCAGTTCCTGAGCATATGTCCAGTGAGACATACGTGGATTCAAATCCTCATTGTTCCACTCTAGTTAAAAAAAAAAAAAAAATCAGCATTATCGCCAGACCTACAGTGGTTTGCGCCTATAATTCCAACACTTTGGGAGGCCAAGGCAGGTGGATCACCTGAGGTCAGGAGTTCGAGACCAGACTGGCCAACATAGTGAAACCCCATCTCCACGAAAAATACAAAAATTAGCTGGGCATGGTGGTGCACGTCCGTAATCCCAGCTACTCGGGAGGCTGAGACAGGAGAATCGTTTAAACCCAGAAGGTGGAGGTTGCAGTGAGCCAAGAACATGCCACTGCATTTCAGCCTGGGTGACAAAGCGAGACTCAGTCTCAAAAATAAAAAAACTAAATAAATAAATAAACAGCATTGTTGAGATATAATTGATGTTCAATACATACTGAAATTGAATCATTTGATGAGTTTCAACATATGTACATACCCAAGGAACCATCACCACAATCAAGATGCCAAGTGTTTCAATTGCTTCCAAAAGCTACCTCATGCTGGTTTATAAGTCATCCCCTATTCATCCCACCACCCCATTTCCAGGTAACCATCATCACTATAGGTTGCTTTCTTTCACTATAGATGGCTTTACATTTTCTGGGATTTTATAGAAATGAAATCATGCTATATGTACTCTTTATAAATTTTTTTTTTTGTATACAGAGCCTCTCTCTGTTGCCCAGGCTGGGAGTGCAGTGGCGAAAACTTGGCTCACTGAAACCTCTGCCCCTGCGGGTGTTCAAGCAATTCTCCTGCCTCAGCCTCACTAGTAGCTGGCATCACAGGCGTGTGCTACCATACCTGGATAATTTTCTTTTTTGTGTGTGTGTGTGTGTTTAGTAGAGACGAGGTTTCACCATGTTGGTCAGGCTGGTCTCGAACTCCTGAGCTCAGATAATCCACCTACCTCGGCCTCCCAAAGTGCTGGGATTATAGGCATGAGCCGCTGCACCTGGCCAATATGTACTCTTTCTGTCTGACTTCTCTCATTCAGCATAATTATTTTGTCATTTATCCATGCTATTGCACATATCAATAATTTGTCTTTTTTTATTGCTAAGTAGGATTGAGATGTAGATGCACATATATCAGATTGGTGTAAAAGTAATTGTGGTTTTGACTGTTACTTTTTTTTTTTTTTGAGACAGGCTCTTGCTCTGTTGCCCATGCTGGAGTGCAGTGGTGCAATCTCAGCTCACTGCAACCTCTGCATCCAGGTTCAAGCGATTCTCCTGCCTCAGCCTCCTGAGTAGCTGGGACTATAGGCATGCACCACCATGCTCGGCTAATTTTTGTATTTTTAGTAGAGACAGGGTTTCACCATGTTGGCCAGGCTGGTCTTGAACTCCTGGCCTCAAGAAATCCGCCTGCCTCGGCCTCTCAAAGTGCTGGGATTACAGGCATGAGCCACCATGCCCGGCCATTTTGCCATTACTTTTAATGGCAAAACCGCAATTACTTTTGCACCAACCTAATAGATCTCACAGGTGAAGCACGGTGGCTCACACCTGTAATCCCAACACTTTGGGAGGCTGAGACGAGCAGATCACTTGAGCCCAGGAGTTTGAGACCAGCCTGGGCCACATAGCGAAACCCTGTCGCTACTAAACACCAAAAAATTAGCCAGGCATGGTGCTGTGTGCCTGTCTATAGTCTCAGCTACTCAGGAGGTTGAGGTGGGAGAATCACTTGAGCCCTGAAGTTGAGCTGCAGTGAGCCGTGATTGCACCACTGCACTCCACTTTGTCTCCAACAAACAACAAAGAAAGATACAGATGCCACAGTTTCTTTATCCATGTCCCTGGGCATGTTATTGTTTCCTCCAGTTTTTGACTATCACAAATAAAACTGCTATGAACATTCATGTACATGTCTTTGAGTGGACAAATGCTTTCATTACCCAGGAATACAACTGCTCGTCACATAAGCGTATGTTTAGCTTTTTAAGAAACTGCAAACTACTTCCCGGCCTGGCTTTTTAAACTGTAATCATTTTAGATGCACTCATTTTTTTTTAACCTGTGGATCTAATAGCTCGTTTTTTAGACTGTCCGGGCCTCAGTTTTTTCATGTGTAAAATGGAGATAATTGGCCAGGTGCGGTGGCTCATGCCTGTAATCCCAGCACTTTAGGAGGCCGAGGCAGGCAGATCACTTGAGGTCAGGAGTTCGAGACCAGCCTGGACAACATGGTGAAACCCCATCTCTACTAAAAATACAAAAATTAGCTGGGCATGGTGGCGCACACCTGTAGTCCCAGCTACTCAGGAGGCTGAAGCAGGAGAATAGCATGAACCCGGGAGGCGGAGGTTGCAGTGAGCCAACATCGTGCCACTGTACTCCAGCCTGGCGACAGAGCAAGACTCCGTCTCAAAAAAAAAAAAAAGGAGATAATTATATCAGCTTAGAAAGATAGTGAAGACAGAGTGAACTAGCACATATGCAGCACGTAGAACAGGGACTGGGACATAGTAAGGGTTCCATAAGGGGTGGGTTGTTGCTGTTGTTGTTGTTGGTTTTGAGATGGAGTCTCATGCAGTGTTACAATGTCAGCTCACTGCAACCTCTGCCTCCCAGGTTCAAGTGATTCTCCTGCCTCAGCCTCTCGAGTAGCTGGGATTACAGGCACACACCACCACGCCTGGCTAATTTTTGTATTTTTAGCGGAGACTAGGTTTCGCCATGTTAGCCAGGCTGGTTTCGAACTCCCGACGTCAGGTGATCCACCTGCTTCGACCTCCCAAAGTGCTGGATTACAGGTGTGAGCCACCACGCCCAGCCAAGGGAGATTATTTTATTACAATTGAACCACAGCCGTCCTGTGATCTGGCCACTTACCCCAGGATACAGCATCCTCAACGAGACGGCAAAAAGCCACTTCCTTTGCACTTAGTCAGTGCTGTTAGCCTGGAGGAATAACAATAGCACCATCGACTGTGCCAGGCACTATCCTCGGTACTTTTGTATGTTGAATCCTTACAAAGCCCTGTGAGGTGGGTCAGTGTTTGCCTTCTGTATCACAGATGAGAAAACTGGGATGTAGTAACCAGTCATTGGCCAAGGTCACACAGCAGTGAAGTAATGGTACTGTGAATTGAATCTACGTAGTTTGATTTAGGATCTAGAAGTTTCTCTAATGGATTACCTAGCTCAGAGCTAGTGAAATAGCCCAGTCACAAAATCACCTCCTGATGCCCAGAATCATCTTCAGCTCCTCAGACACAGAGCCTGAGGCAAAGATTAGGTACTGTGTGATTTATAAAGGAAAGAACCTGTAAGGGATGAAGGGAAGCAAGACAGGGAGGGAAACAAGCAAAGATGTGGTCTCAGGTAAAGTCTAGCAAAAAGGCTGGCTTTGTGTACCTCTGTACGAGTCAGCTGTTGGCTGCCAGCCACCCTGTGGGTGAGAGGAATAAACTCCAGGGTGAGGTGATTCCTGAGATGGCAGTTCTCAGTAGAAATGGAAATAGTAAGCCATTAGAAGCCAACAACTGAAGCTTCTGGGGGGATGGTATTGGTGTGCTAGCCCATGAAGGGCTCAAGAGGTTCCCAGAGGCATGCTTCTTGCCTGCCTAATGAAGCAAGTTCTAGAACATTCTGGAACATTCACTTCCTAGACTTGTTTTGGAGAATCCTCCTCACTGAGACCAGGATGTTGAAGAAACCTGGCCTGTGACATAATCAAAGCACACCTTCATTTTTATCTCCCAGTGTCCCTTCTAAGATGTATTTGGTGGAGAAACATTTTCCCTGCCACTGAGTGAAATCTCCCCCTTACTCTTCTGCTCGTTCTGAGGAAACAGGTAATTCTATGGTCACTTTAGGTCACAAATATACTCAATTTAGAAATGAGAATGTCCAGTGAAGCTTCTAACCAAAATTCCCAATTTGATTTAGGTTTAAACCTTCTCCCCTCGCTCTCAGGCCTGCTGCAGGGAGGCGGTGTGGGTGGCTCCTTCTCTATCTCTCCTTCCCTCATCTACACGTGGGGTACAGTGGGGGGTGTTGGAGATAGCAAGGGAGGAGAAAGGGTCTCCCTTGAGCTGCAACCATCCTGGCTGGCTTCAAGCTGCCCCTTTCTGTCGTGGGCTCCATGGAGACGGCCACTGTCACAGGGGCCCTCTCACTCTTGACCTTGGCGGATGCACCTCTCCTCATAGGGGTCCCTTGCAAGTCATTCATCAGCCCTTAGGAACTCAACATCCAACTCAAGCTTCTTGCTGCTGCCACACCTCTGCCCCTCCAGGAGGCTCTAGGGGACAGGACCCAAGAGGGCCCCTTGTAGGTGCTCTCTGCCAACACTGGTCCACGGGAAACACACCAGCCAGCAGCCTGTGCCCTGAAAGTCCTGGGAATGTGGCTGACCTTAGCACACCCACACTGTGGCTCCTGCACCGATTCAGCCAGGCAGCCTGTTTCTCTCAGCCTCTAGATGCCCATACCCACATGAGACCACTGGGCCTGCTCATAATGGCCACACATTAATCTCTACAAATAGTAGCCCCTCTAATGAAAGAGCCCTCATGACCCCATTCCACTCTTCCGAGGAGATGGCCACCAAAGAACTCTTTGCCTCCTCTTCCCATCCTAGGAGAATGTGGGGGATACACGGGTAATAATAAATATAGGGGTTTTGGGTAGTCACGGCCAAATTTTAGCAGCTATGGGTTTTGACTGGGGTTCTTAAAGAACAGTTACTGGTTGTCACAGCAGAGCTTTCTAGAAACATCTTACAAGTCACGTCCACCACCCCGAGCTTCCGTTTTTTCATATCCTTACTGGGGTGACAACACCTTACTGGGGGTTTGTGGTGAGGGCTGAGTGAAGTAGTGAATTTGCGGAGCTGACACTCCAGGATTCCACAATCACAGACCTGCAAATTCCATCTCCGTGGGACCATTTAGAAGTGATGTGGCTTCTCTGAGTCTGTTTACTCCTTTGTCAAATGGAAGAGCCTCTACTCCATCGCATCTCTGTAAGGTTAGTTAAGTGAATACATATGACATGCTTAGCACGGGACCTGGCACCTGGTAAGAACTCAGTCCACGCTAGGTGCTATTAATACAATGGTGGGTGGCTGGTACTGATGGAGGGGATGTGGGACCTCCACCCCTTCCATTTCTCTCACTATTCCAGGCCCTGTTTTGGAAATGCTTCAGCCAGGCTGGGATCCAGGGCCCCTGGGAACAGAGAGGACATGCTGTACCTCCAAGCAGCCATGCTGACTCAGGTTGGGAAATCAGTGTGTGACCACAAAAACACAGCCAGGTTCTTCCCACTTCTGGGAAATCCGCACAGCCAACCCACGGGCATCTCTTTACCCCGTCCCGAGAGGTGGCCAGCTCCGTTCTAGGACCTGATTGGGCGGTTTGTGAGCACAAGGCTGGCACACTGAGAAAAAGGAGTCTCTTGCCCCTTAGGGAACCCCAGGCCCAGGGGTCACAAGCTTTGCACGACCCTCTGATTGGGGTCAAACATGTCTGGTGTTTGCCAAGCCTCTGACTTCCCCCAGCCCGCATCTGGACACTTCTCAAGCCAAGCCAGGCTCCGGACCACTGGTTGGGCAACCCATGACCTCAAACTGGGTCAGACCCATCAGATGAGCATCTGTTTAAGAGTATAGGACATTTTGTTCTTTAGAATCCCAAGGGTCAGAGTATGAACCCTCCCCGTCCCCGATTCAAACTCCTCCCCCACCACCTACTGCCATTTGTTTACTCTGTTACTTTGAGCAAGTTTTTCAGCTCTCTGAGTTCTAGTTTTCCTATCCACCAAATGCAGACTAACAAGTACTTTCACCTTCCAGGGTTGATTTGAGATTCAGGTAGTGAATGTCAAAGGATGGCACACACATTAGCAGGCACTCCAAAAGGGGGAGTTATTATTGCAAACAGGGCACTAGACACCAAGTGAAAAACAGTATGGTACATATGGTACAGTGGATAAGAGGGCAGAGCTGAGAGCCAGACTGCCTGGGTTCCAAACCTGCTAGTCAGGTGTGGTGGCTCATGCCTGTAATCCTAGCACTTTGCGAGGTCAAGGCGGGTGGATCACTTGAGGCCAGGAGTTTGAGACCAACCTGGCCAATTAAACCCCATCTCTACTCAAAATACAAATAAAATTAGCCTAGTGTGATGGCATGCGCCTGTAATCCTAGCTAATCAGGAGGCTGAGGCAGGAGAATCGCCTGAACCCAGGAGGCAGAGGTTGCAGTGAGCCAAGATTGTGCCACTGCGCTCCAGCCTGGGCCACAGAGTGAGACGCTGCCTCAAAACAAGACAATACAAAACAAAACAGGCTGCCTTGCCAACCTACTGTGTGGCCACAAGGAATCTCTCTGAGCCTCAGTTTTCTTCTCTGTAAAATGGGAATAACCATAATACAGTTATGAGGATTCAATTAGATTAGTTGCACTGGAAACAGTGCCTGTCACATAGTATTACCTACTAACCGTTAACGATTTTTTATTTTACTTTTTCCAGTCTCGGCCCCAGTTGGGAAGCATGAACTATTTTTAATTAGCCACACAAGTTAGCAATATCGGTAACAGTGCTGAAATCACACGGGTCAGTGTTTTGAACAAAATTCACCTGGAAGTCATATTTAGTGAGCACCTACCTGTCTACCTGGTGCTAACAGAAGCCATACATTTAGATACATGTATATGTACATGTATACACTCATATGGACACACACATACTGTGAAGTAGGTATTGCTGTCTTCATTTTTTAAAACCTTTATATTATAGAGCAAAACAGACGCAGAAAACCACACAAATTAAATTTGTAGCAGCCAGATGCAGTGGCTCACACCTGAAATCCCAGCACTTTGAGAAGCCGAGGTGAGTAGATTGCTTGAGCCCAGGAGTTTGAGATCAACCTGGGCAACATAGCAAAACCTGAAACCCCATCTCTACGAAAAATACATAAATTAGCCGGGCATGGTGGCATGTACCTGTAGCCCCGGTTACTCAGGAGGCTGAAGTAGGAGGATTACTTGAGTCTGGGGAGGTCTGAGGCTACAGTGAGCTGAGATCACACTGCTGTACTCCACCCCGGGCAACAAAGTGAGACCCTATCTCAAAAAAAAAAAAAAAAAAATTGTAGTTTAGTGAGTTATATTAAGGCAAACACCCTGTAACCACCACCCAGGTCAAGAAACAGAATTTTTTTCAGACACCTCAGGGTTCCCCTCCCCACCTCACCAGGTACTCCATATCAATCACAGCCCCTCCCCCCAAAATAATCACTAATCCGACTATTAATTACTTCCTTGCGTTTCTTCATGACTTACTCATCTGAGTGTGCATCCCTAGATGTTATTGTTTAGTTGTGTCCACTTTTTATTTTTATTTATTTACTTTTTGTTGACATGGAGTCTCATTCAACTGCCCAGGAGGTGACACGATCTCGGCTCACTGCAACCACCGTCTCCCGGGTTCAAGAGATTCTCCCGTCTCAGCCTCCCCAGTAGCTGGGATTACAGGCACCCACCATCATGCCCGGCTAATTTTTGTATTTTAGTGGAGATGGGGTTTCACCACCTTGACCAGGCTGGTCTTGAACTCCTGACCTCAGGTGATCCATCTGCCTCGGCCTCCCAAAGTGCTGGGATTACAGCACACCCAGCCATGTCCACTTTTTAAAAGCCTCTTTTGTGTGTGTGTGTGTGTGTGTGTGTGTGTGTGTGTTTTGTTTTGTTTTTTAGGAGACAAGGTCTCACTCTGTCTTGCAGGAGGGAGTGCACCAGTGCAATCTTGGCTCACTGCAGCCTTGAACACCCCAGGCTCAGGTGATCCTCTTACCTCAGCCTCCAGAGTAGCCAGGACTACAGGCATGTGCCACCACACCTGGCTAATTTTTGTATTTTTTTGTAGAGACAGGGTTTTACCATGTTGCCCAGGCTGGTCTTGAACTCCTGACCTCAAAAGATCCTCCCATTTAGGTCTCCCAAAGTGCTGGAACTACTGGTGTGAGCCACAGTGCCCAGCCAAAAGCCTCTTTTATTAATCCAAAAGCCTCTTTTTAAAAATAGTCTACAGGTTCTCCCTTCCATCCCTTTCTCTTCCTTGAAGTTTATCTGTTGAATTCAGGCTGTTTTACGTGTAGTTTCTCAAAGTCTGAATTTTGTCAATTGCATCCTCATAGTACAATATAACACGGCCCTCCGACCTCTGCATTGCCTGCAAATTAGCAGCTGGATCAGACTCAGGGTCCATCTTTTTGGCATGATTATAGCTGGTGCTGGACTCCTTTCCAAGCAGCTCCTACAAGGCTGGAGTTGTTCCTTTTTTGATGTTAGCTGCCATTGTGTACAATGGCTAGCTACATTCATTCACTGTAAATAACAAAATGGCAATATTGCATCATTTTGTTTTCATGTATTAGCTGTAGTAATTTTATAGGAAGCTTCTTCCCTTTATCTATTATTTGGTTTCCCAGAGCTACAGTTCATTTAGGAAAGGCAGGAGAATGACT